GGCAACTGTACACGAGTTCAGGGAGATCCATATTCAGTGTGGTGGAAGATAATTTTGAGAGCTGGGCAACAGGATCTGCGGCTAGAGATTGACATGGATCATGGAGGGTCTTGGAGGCCATGTCAAGCAACCTAGATATTTAGGCCTAAGCACTTGACTGCTAACCAGAAATCTGGAGGTTCAAACCCACCAGCCACTCCTCAGAAGGAAGGTTGGGCAATCTACTTCCATAAGTGATACTGCCTCGGAAACCCAAGGAGGGGTCACTATGAGTCAGGTCCAACTTGACGGCACATAACAACGACAACATAGGCAATGGGGAGATATGAAAAGGTTTTGAGGAAGATAGTGATGGGTTCATATGTGTAATTTAGAAAATCATCCTGGAATTGCAATACGAAGAAAAGATTGAAGAGGGATGTTTGGGCAAGCAGTGTTGAGTTTTACCAGGGTCCAGGTGAGAGATGGAGAGGTTTGAGCTAAGTCAATAGGCAATAGGGACACTGGAAGATATTAAAGAGAAAAAATAGACAGGCTCTAGGTGTGGGCATTGTGGGAGGAAAAGGAGTCCTGAATGAATGCTAGCTTCCCTGCTCAGTGATGATGAGGGTGATGGTATCATTTATGAGGAGATAAATGATACCAGGGGTGGAAATAGATTTTGGGAGGAAGATAATTAGTTTTGGATGTTCTGAGATTAGGTGCCTATGAGATGCCTAGGGAGGTGTGTTCAGGAGGCTATTGGACATGTGGATCTGGTGCTTGGAGATGAGGGTAGAGATGGAGCATGGAGGTTGGGTGTGATGAGCATGTGGGAGACTGTTGAAAGTCTAGGGATGAGGGAGAGATTGCTGAGGGGGAATGTGCCATGTGAGAAGGGAAGAGACTGAGGCTTGAACCTCGAGACGCTCCTGTGTAGGGATATGGGCAGAGAAGACTTGGGCTGATCTTCCAAGTACCAGCCCTGGAGGAACTGTTACATTCCAGGCCAGTATCTCTCACAGTATTTTGTCATTATCCTCCATTTTGTGATCTGATGTAATTAATCTATGTTTTGTAAATCCTAACCTCTATGATGTTAATGAGGCAGGATTGTTGTTGTTGTGTTGTTATGTGCCATCAAGTCAGACCCAACTCATAGCGACCCCTCCTTGGGTTGCCAAGGCAGTATCACCATGGAAGTAGATTGCCCAACCTTCCTTCTGAGGAGTGGCTGGTAGGTTTGAACCATCAGCCTTCTGGTTAGCAGTCACGTGCCTTAGGCACTATGCTACCAGAGCTCTTGAAGCAGGATTAGTGGTAGTTAATGTCAATTAGGCAGAAGACAATCTGTAGGATTAGGTTCTATCTTCAGTCAACCTCTTTTGAGATATAAAAGAGATTAAACAAGTGAGCAGAGATCAGTGGGACCTACTACCATCAAGAAAGAAGAGTATATCTTTGGACCCAAGGTGTTTGTGCTGGCAATCGCCTAGACCCAGGGTAAGACTGATGCCAAGACACATGTAGATCTCCAAGAGATGTCAAGCCCACAGATATTGAAAGGAGACAAGGAGCTTCCCACAGAGTCAACACACAAAGAATAGCGTTTCCCTAAAGCCGGTCCTCTGAACTCAGGCTTCCAGCCTCCTAAACTGTGAGAGCATACATTTCTGTTTGTTAACGCCATTCACTTGTGGTATTTCTATACAGTTTTGCTGTATTACTAAGAGAACAGAGCATTAGTCTTACAAGATGTTCTGTGATCAAATTTACGTGGGTACATGACAGCCTATACCTCTCTCTGAGTGTCTCATGGTACACACTCTCATATTAAAGATGCAGAAAAGTCGCTCAGTAAGGAAACCTGCTTCTCTGTGTATAGTCCACCATTTCCCAAATATACTTGCCCTTAGAATAATGAACATTATTGTTCTGGGTTCCATTTGCTTTGAAATCATGGTCTAGACCTAATGAATGAATACCGGAGCTGAAGACCAGTTAACCATCATTGAGTTCAGTCTCTCATTGTACAGATTAAACTGAGTTCAGAAGAAACTAAGAGCATTGTGGGGCAGTAGAGGAAGCACTGGAGGTAGACACACCCAGGTTTAATCTAGGCTCCATCATTTACTAGGTATGTGACCTTGAGCACGTTACTCTCTTCCCTGGGCCTCAGTTTCTTCATCTGTGAAATTCAAACAGTAACCCTACAAGTCCTACTAGCTGGTGGTCTGATGATTCGGCCAGAGTCTGGCAAGAAGACTGCTGTGATTTGCCCATACCACCCAGCCAGAGAGGGCTATTGTCCACCCATCACTCTGCCCTTGGTGGCCCCTTGTCCCACACAAGGACCTGCTCTAGAGGTTGTCTCTGAGCTCAAACCCAGAAAACTCCACACTGAAAATAACTGGCTTGCTTGGTGGCTGCTCAGAGGTGCCCCAAATTTGAAGAGTTCAATGATCTGCTCTCTCCCCTTGCTCCAGCTATGGGGACTCCATGGGCAACAATGTGGGTGAAAGGATGAGGAATTTTGGCTCAGAGGGGAGCTTGGAATTGGCCTGGGAGCCCGGGCTGTGCCTTGGTCATAGCTGGACATACTGCCCCAGCTGGGCAGCATCTCACAGCTAAGCTGGATGTTGTCCTCTAGCTAGCAGCATCCCACTATTATGAGGGTCCTTTTTGGGGCTTAGGGCTAGTTTCGTTGAGCTCTTCGATCACGCCTTGCCTGTCAATCACTGGCCACCCCTGGCCACCCAGTGGAACGTTCCCCACCCTGCTTTGTAAGCCTGAGTTCAGCAAGCTGGAAGAAGGTAGCAAGGCAACTTTCAGAATGAAACGTTTTCCTAACCCTTCTGTCACAGTCATTCATACCTAACACACTGAAGCATATTTTTAGTCACTTTGCAGAATTTAAAATATACCTCAAAGGCACCAAGAAACACCAGCTTGGGGATTAACTCTGCTCATAAGAGATGGTTGAGAGGGAGTGCCTTGTGCTGCATCACCCACAGGCTATGCCATGACTCATTGCAGCCAACACCTTCAGGAGATACACCTGCCTGTGGACATGGGACCCGGAAACAGCCTGCAGTAGGCACCAAGCTTCCAGCTCAAGAAGCTGGTGTCAGAGCTCTGGGTCAGCTCCCGTCCTGCGACTGCATGTCTTTGGTGGTGGGGTCACTTCCATGCCATGGGGCCTGTCTGTGACACATGAGGAATAATTACCTAGTTCCTGAGGCTCTGCCCAGTTCTAACATTCTGTTCTCTGAGCTTTGTAAGGATTTTAATTCCAATCAAAGCCCCAAAGATGAATGGAGAAGGGTTGAATGGAGGACTTCATGGAGCCACAGCACCTCTGAGATGGGTGAGATTGATGACAGTGGCCTTGAGCATAGAAGGTACCCACCCACTCACCCAGGAGATAGGACTCTCCCCTATGTTTTTTTTTTTTTTTTTGGGGGGGGCTGCATATAAACACTCACAGATTTCCAGGGAGTGTAAATCCCACCACCCTATCTGTCTCCAGATAGAGGAACTGAGACCTAGAGAGAGAACGGGTCTTGCCCAGGGACCTGAAACACACTAGAGTGAGGACAAAGCTGAGTGGAAGACAGGAGGCTGGCTCTGGTGCACAGCTGGAAGTTTGAAGCTTGGGATGCTGCACTCTTGGGAGAGGAGGTCCCTTCTTAATGTTCTGCCCTTGGTGGGCCCAATAGTAGAGCCTTCCTTTCCCTGCCTGAGGCTGCCTCTCTGTGGGGCAGGGAGAGGGCACACGGAAAGGTGCCCAGGGAGAGGTTGAGGACTGGTCTGGGTTTCACTGGAGAGATGGGCAACACAGCCTTTGGTGCTGGGCAGAGACCTGGGTCTGGGGTCTTGCCCTCACCTGCCCTGCTTCTTGTTCTAGCAGCCCTCCTTGAACTGATTAAATCAGGGCCAGTGGGTAGCTGCTGGCTTCGCCACTGGTTCTTCAACAGGCACCCTTAACTGTCTGAGACCCTCTCCAGGATGTTCAAGTACCCTGGACTTGAGCCCTCAGTCCTCTCCAGGAGTCTCACCAGGAGCCATTCTTGAGGGAGGTGGAGAGCATTGAACAGGTGCTGGGAGTCCTGCTCCCCACCACAGGCCATCTAAGATAAGAAAGGTATAGCAAGTGCCCTGGAAGCCTCCTTACATCTTGAGGGGAGGCGCCACTGAGCGGTTTCTACTAACCACGGCAACTTCCATTGTCAGCTGTGAAAGATCAACAAGTTAAAGCTAGTACTTTCATATTTGAGAGCCTCCAGAGGTCAAGGCAGAGGTGCAGTTGTAATTTTCATGTAGTGTCATAAAGTGTTAAGGTTAACAAGCTAGACTTTAATCTCTGAGCTGATATTATGGTTATCTAAAAGAAGTGTCAGATGTTTGGACAGGGGTGCAGTTTCAGTGCGTAGATACGCTCACACCCCACTGCAAGCTCCCAGGCTTCCCGGAGACCTCCTCTGGATCTTCGCGGGACTTGGCCTCCTAGCAGCTTCGACTGGACTGCAGCCTCGGGTTGGGCAGGAAGGACTCCGCGGCCCGCCCCCTCTGCGCCCTCCTCCCGAGGCAGCACGTGCAGGGCGGGGCTGTGGCCCGAGCGTGGAGCTGATTGGGCGCGGGCCTGGTGGGCGGGCCCGGGCAGCAGCTGTCAGAGCCGCCGCGGCGTCGGCTGAGCATTGGGTTGAACCTTTGCAGCGCCGCAGCCGGAGCGCAGGAGCCGACCCGGCCCGGCCGGGATGGTTTAGCAGCGGCTCCTCGGCGTACGCACGCACTGAGCGGGCCCGAGCTGGGCCCCGCGCCCCCCGCGCCCCCCGCC